CCATCCTTCACTTCATCATCCATGCATGCGACAATTTCTTCCATCATAGCACAATCGTTTACACTCATTTTTGTGAGTTGTACCAAACCTTTAGCGGTTGAGTATCTCATCAAATTTTTGAGTCCATGACATCTTGATAATTCCAGAGTATGTAGATTCCAGAAATATATGAAGGATGGCATTAAATTTTTTAGTTTGCCACATTCCTGCACTTCAAGAACTCTGAGGTTATAGAAAACTGATTCATGCTGTGATTCTTCCTCCCAGAGATATGTTAGCTCGTTAAGTTTAGATAACCTCAATTCACTTAATCGAGCAAGTGCAAGTGCAGGGTTATCCTCTCCACCTAGCTCTTCGGATTGGAACAATTCATCCCAGCAATGAAAGGAAGTTTCACTCACAACAAGCTTTTCAAGGCTAGGTAATGAAAGGAAGAAAGATTGGTGAAATGCAGATCGCTCGCAATAGTTGATGAGTTCTATAGATTTCAGTTTGGGTAAAAACTCCCTTGAATGTTGTCCACGCCACACCTCCTTACTAATAGCATTGCACTTCAACTTTAGTTCCTCTAGATTGGAGAATGTAGCCTGAAAATTTGAAAAAAATAATATATTAAAAATATATAAATAATAATGATAACCAAAGCTTATTGGAATGGCTACTATAGTTTTCATTTTCTGTCATAAAAAAGACGAAAAATTTTTAATTTAAAGACATGGATGAAACAAATTTAGATATATATTAGATATTAACTAAAAGAGTTTGTCACTGTTTTTAAAAATTAGGATGAAAACACTTCATAATTATTCCATTCCATTTCATTAAAAGGTTAAAATAACATATTTTTAAAACAATGACAAATTTATTTTGATCTTAAAATTTAGATATAATTTTATTACTAATTTATTTAAAGCACATGTTAAAAAAATTCTTAATAAATTTATGAATTATAAAACGAAAACAATAACTCATCTTTTGTATTCCATCATAATTGTCACACTTTCTAAGGTAGCAAAATCCCCAATATAATTGTCAATTGCTATTTTAACAAAGCATTAAAAAACTCCACTCCAACTTTATCTCAATTTCTATTCACAAGTAAAAATTCATTTACATACAAATTTTATGTATTACATTTGTATAAAATTTTAATAATTTATCTCTTTATTTTTAATTATTAAGTTTTTTCATAATTTTTTAATTAAAAAATTATCCTTAATAAATATAATAAAAGCAAATAGATCTCAATTATTAAAAATAGAGTGATAAATAATTAAAATTTTATACAAATGTGAGACATAAAACTT